GAGGTCAGTTCCTTAATTTTAATTGTGCAAATTCTCATACGTGTCAGGAGTATCAGAGCAGTTGAGACGCATTTTTTCTAAACACCGGGTCTCTGTGGCTTTTAAACCCCAAAACACACTGCGCCAAAAACTGGTCCACCCCAAGGATCGGGTCCCCCGACACAGAGTAACATAGTGTACGCTGTTAAGTGCCAGGAGGATTGCCAGGATTTATACATCGGGGAAACCAAACAACCTCTGGCGAAGCGGATGGCACAACACAGAAGAGCTAACTCGTCAGGCCAGGACTCTGCAGTCTGTTTACACCTACAGGCCAGTGGACACTCTTTCAGTGAGGATGTACACATCCTGGACAGGGAAGAACGCTGGTTTGAGCGCGAAGTCAAGGAGGCCATTTACGTGAAAAGTTTCCCTTTTCACGTAAATGGCCTCCTTGACTTCGCGCTCAAACCAGCGTTCTTCCATCTCTGAATCGAGGAGGGGGCCTAGGGGTACATCTTACGCCATCTTACAATGCTGTGTTTGCAGCCATTCCCCAACTCTCTGTGAATGGTACTCATGGCTATTGATCAGTGGGTTTTGGTCAGTGGTTGTTGATCAATGGTCATGAGAATTTGCAAAATTAAAATTAAGGAACTGACCTCCCAGCCCATTGTTCCTTCAGTGGGCTGGTTTCAGTCATTATGCAAATGTACTGTTTATAAGATTGGAGAAACCTGCAGTCAGCTGAGACTGAAGAAATCATTTGGATGAGTGACGAAACGTTTCTCCCACAAAACGCTACATCCAGATGAACAGAATCGACTTTTTGGAGAACCCTTATTTATCTTACAGTGAGCCTCGACCCAGCCCCATAGTTCATTCAATATATAAAACAAGCCGTTACTACTAGCTACTGATATACTCTCCCCTGTAAGCCAGCTTTGTCCTGATTGGTTGCCCCTCGTAAATAAAACATTTAAACAGCAGGTGGGTGGGGTTTCTGTGCTCACGTTGGCAGGTTATTAAACATTGCCAAGAGTAGAATAAACGGTTGAAGCCTGAGTTTTCAACTCACACTTACAGATAAGATGTCATCATTTGACACCAGTATCATTGTAACATAACAATATAGACATGCCAGAAAATAATGAGAAGCATAATCGGTTCCCTTTATGTAACACCAGACAAATGTAGAGTGTTTTTACATGTAACCAACCACTCAAGGCTGAGGATGACTCACTGTTAAGAGAAGTCTCCATGTTTTTTCTTCCCTCCTCTCCACAGGATGAGTCAGAGTCTCCAAGTCAAAGTGGTGAGAACTGAACAGTTTTGTCTGTAGCATGCCACCTACGTTCATTCTGATATACTGATATGAGTGAAGATTATCAACTCGTGTTTTCATACATTTTCTTTTTCAGACGCCGTCAGAAGACCTTGGGAGAAACCTTCTATGATCAGGTGAGCCAAGACGCAGTTATTTCCCTGCAGTAAATCTGTCACCTCCAGGTGTCCCATGTGTCGGTTCACCCTGTTCACCAGTGTGCGCACGTTTTTGTGTCCACCCCTGCGTCTTTGCACAAACGTGAGTTTTTTGTGCGTGTGTGCGAATGTCGTCCATTTTCATTTTAAGAGCGAGAGTGTGTGTGTGTGTGTCTCACTAACAGGAATAACTCCATCCCCAAGAGCATGGACTCCACTTCCTCATTGTCCCAAGTTCCCAGGTATACATGTGCCCCATTAATTCATGACCTTTAGCACCCCTTCCTTTATTCTTCCCTCTCAAATCTTCATGCTGGGGTAGCATATTTTACAGTTGATAGCACCATCTAATGGATGGGAGAATGGCGTGCACCCAAGCTACCCGTAGATGTAGCAGCTGAGTGTGCTGTCTCTGAAAACTGACTAATAAGATGGGAGCCTGGGTCTATGATTCATGCTTATTTTCAAGTCACTTCTCTCAGCTGGGGTTGGCTCTGTCCTCTCTGACATCTTTGATGGCTTTGTTTGTCTCTATGTTGTAGTTCAAGAACATACACGTAGTTTTTGTGGTAAAAGGTCCTAACAGAGCCATACACTACTCTTAAACCTGTGCTAGCTAGATCAGTTAATATCAGGCATTAATTTATAGCTCGTCAGCATCCTTGAGCTTCAGAAAGGTAGGTTAATGAGTTTACATAGGTTAACCTTCATTTCATTTCTGCATTCTTCCATTCACTGGTTCTTCATTTGCTCTATACTGTGGCAATGCATTTGATGAATATGTTGCACCTGTTTTGTGGAAAGATAAACATGAAATATTTGCATGTCTGTTTCATGTTTTGTTACAGGGCAAAGGCTGCAAGCAATAATAATGAAGCAAGTGGAGCCGATGACTCAGATTTAGAGAAAATGAAACAGGTAAATATGCTCATCGACCCAGCGATCGTCAGTTCTTGGCCAAAACAGCCACACTTGAATGTTTGGATCTGAATTTTTGTCATGTAAATGAGAAAGCTGATTTCTCTAAAGCTTCTGATACTCGTTTTGTTTTGCATGAATCTGGCTCCATCTGAATATGCTGGCTTGAGGTCACTTTTTGACAACAGTTTGACAATGGCAGTCTCAGACTGTTGAAATGAAGTTAGTTTGTAGCTTCCAGCTGTTTCCAGGAGTGTGTTGTTGAGTGTGTCACAAACAGGTTGGTGTGCATTTATGCAGCTGGCACAACAGCAATAATATTAACTACTGACAATAATTACATTCCCAGCTTGGGACAGGAGCAGTCCGGATCTTATCACAGACGTGGTGTATATAACCATACTTCACAAGCTCCTGTTATTTCTAATCTGATGTGTGGGATGTTTGTTCCCATAGCTACACATAGGAAGTGGCCTCTTTAGTTATCAAAGCATCTATCAAAATAAAGCTGCCATGCAAAAAGACAGTCTGACCTCATGCATTATGTCACTGTTGTACTGTTAAATCTTGCAAGCAAACTGCAGGTAATGTGGATCGTCATTGTGTTTGCAGATTTCCATAAAAATAACCCATGCCTAAATGACAGAATTCAGTCCAGTTGATAAAGCCAACAATGTTATAGGTTTCATGCATGAAAAGGTCTTAATCCTGACAGAGGTTTAGAGAAACCTAAATTTTTCTGGTCAACACCAATGCATTGTGTTCGGCCACAAGTCAGAAAAATATATGTTGTATGTATATGGAGATTTCACAGGTTACTGCAAATAAACATTTTTTTTTTCCTAAATCACAAATGTATTGCCATGGCTAACGGTTTGTCCTATTTTTCTGCAGGAGATCTTGGAGGAAGTGCGGAAAGAACTACAAAAAGTCAAAGAGGAAATTATTGGAGGTTAGATTACACTTTTAAAAAAAACCTTTAATTTTGCTCCAGTATCAGCTACTTTGTGTACTTACTGTGTGTTTCTCTTTGCTTTCACAGCCTTTATTCAGGAGCTTCAGAAGAGAAGCACATAGTTCTGCTGAGCGTCAGGTGTAACGGAGGGATGCGATGGGTGGAGCAGATCGAGGTCCGCTGAGGCCTTTCCTCCACGTCACCCTCTCATGTAGCCCAGGGATTTCTCTTTATCTTCTACACATTTTCTCTTCTCTCTCTCTTACACAAACACATGAGCATATGTGCTTACTGTACAACATCCATATTCACTTCATCTTAATGGTAACCCAGGGAACCTCCTCAAGTCGCCATTTGGCACTTTTTAACCATCACTTGCTTTTATTGCAGCGGTGATGTCCCCATCTGTACCATCTCTTCCCGCTCAGCCGTCCCGTCGTGCCCTTTTTGTGTCCCGTTCATCTGAATCATTTCAGAGCACTTAACTACCGCCAGAGTTGCTCTTGCAAGTTTGCCATCTCTAACCCCTCTTTGTTGCAGAACCCCTGCTGCTTGTGTCCTCTCCTTCTGCTATCAGATGCACCATTTTTCCTGGTAGAGAAGTCTTCAGTATTCAGGCACACTGTATTAGTCATATTTTTTACTGTAATAGAAAGAGGCTGGCATGCTGGGATCATTTTCTCCCTTTCTCAGTTGCCATGAAAATGTTGAGACTTCTGCTAGTCTGTGTGGCAGCTGGATGTGGAGAGGGGAAAAAAATCAAACGAAACAGTGAAGCCATCTTCTTTAATACTGCAGCATATCTCAGTCAAGTGGACTTTAAGCTCCCGCCAAAGACTAAGAACTAAAGCGGCACAACGAAAGCCTTCACACTCCTGCTGCACAGAGATACTAGAGGAAGAGGAGACAAGCAAAGGGAAGTGTTCAACCAGAGTGCTGTGAAAGAAGAGTATGTTGTAGTTTTATGATGTGAGAAACTTATTCTCTTTGCATTGCACTTGTTCCAGAGGATGTGTGTGTGTGTGTGTGTGTGCGCGTGTGCCACACCGCCTTGATAGACTATTCCCTCTCACTTAAAATGAGACCTTATTCATTGGCCAGTGTGGCGCTCCTGCTGTCCACTGTGCTTCCGCTTGTTGTTATATTTTTTTTCTTTGTTTTGTTGTGTTTTTTCCCTTCTAGATCCGTTTTCTAATTTTGAAACATGAAAAATGGCCATGATGAGGTCAATTAATTTGGCCATGACCAACTGCCTTGAGAATAAATATATAAATATATATATATGGAAAATATATATTTGTTTTGAGGGAAATGTTAGCAAAAAAGGTGTTTCTATTTTAATTGAAATGACTGGTGAATGGGAATTTCATTATCTTTTTTTTTTTCAATGATTTGTTTTCTAATGAAATGTTGTTTTGTTGTTTTTTTGTTTACTTTCTTTTTTCTAGAGTCTAGGCTTTTTACACTGAAATATAAAGAAAACAGCTTAGAGACACTGGATTAGAAATGCCTTTATAGTCGAATACAGTTGCTTCTTGAAACGCATCACTTTGTCTGGACTCATCTTTTCTATTGTATTTTAATTTTATGGAGTGTGGGCTGTGCTGCACACATTTTGCTATATTTAAAATCCCAAACTATTTATGCATAAAAATGTTTACTTAGAACTTGGGAAATTGTCAGTCTTCTTTTGGCTGCTCCCTTTTAGGGTTCCTCATGACAGATCATCATCCTCCATCTCGCCCTATTTCTAGCATCCTCTTATGTTACCCCATCAGTCTGTATGTCCTCCATCGCTACATCCACAAACCTTCTCTGTGGTCTTCCTCTTTTCCTCCTGCCTGGAAGCTCGATATTCAATATCCTTTCTCCAGTATATCCACTATCCCACTTCTCCACATGTCCAAACCATGTCAGCCTTGCATCTGATTTCTGTCTCCAAAGCGCTCAACCTGAGCTGTGTCTCTGATATACTGATTTGTAATTCTGCTTACTCCCAATCAAAATCTGAACATAGATCTTGGACAGTAGTAAAACAAAAATCAGCATCTGAAATATTTTCCACATAAGGGTTGTGTATTTTTTAAAATTGTGTATTTTATTTTATTTTATTTTATTCTAATAACGTCTGAAGGGTTAAATTTTTACGTATATGCTGTCAGATTTGATAAAATAGCATTATTATTTACGGAACTGACGTACATGTCCAAAAAACTAGTTGATTTTTATACAAAATTACAATGTATGCAACTTTATCGAGTAGAAACATTTTTCATATTATTTCTTAGTTAAATTGGGGTGAACTTCTTGTCCATACGTTCAGGGCCAGAGCCAGTGCCCTTCCAGAGATCCCTAGATGCTTCCGGACTGGGAAAGCTGTGAGCCGTTTCCGCCGCCATTGCGGATTTTGGACAGAAGATCAGCCATAGCCACTGCTATCCATCGATGCAGTGCAGAAAGCATACACAGAAGGGGGGGCGTATTTAACATTTTTCCACTGATATCTCACTTCGGAAACACGATTACCCACAGCATCTTGCCTATTTTAAAACAGTGCTATCGTTTTCACCGACTGGCTCCGACCTACACATTCAGTGAGGAGGTCGTAGCTAGCGCGGTGCTGCTGCTGCCTAGCTAGCTGTACGACCAGAATTTCAGGACTCCGGAGAAGCTCAAGGAAACAACCATGGCTCAAATCCTGCCTATCCGCTTCCAGGAGCACCTGCAGGTAAAGTGGTCGAATCTAGTAGCTATATCGTTTCCTTACATTCTCTTTGATCCCTTCATTTTCCGGCTTAACGGTCGTTTTGACAGCTTTCTAGTTCAGCTAGCGTTAAACGTCAATAACCGCAGCAAATGAATGACCTCCCATCCCCCGTTTAGCCAGCAGCTAATAACTAGCCTCTCATGCTAGCTCCTCATTCATTGTACTGATGCTGTCACTCGCGGCCAGGAGGCGAAACTAGTTAACGACAATCACCTTTTCTGACCTTGAGTGACTATTTATTGGGTTGTAGCGTATGACTGATGCACGGCCACGTTTTGGTCTGTTCAGCGTTATTTCAATATCGAATTAACGTTTGGACCTTGTGAGGCGAAACATTCCAGTCGCTGACCTGCATAACATGAACGCATAGTATAGCTGTTTAAAGCATGCTTTATGTTATTGTCATGTGCCCATTTAAGTTATGAGCCGTGAAACCGTGGTCAGTTGCAGTCTGACTAGACTCCGAGCTGCTTCACGTCATAGAGAAACGTTATGTCACGACAGGCCATTTTTACTGCTGAAGGGAGAGTCGGGTTATTCTTTAGGGTTTTTCTGACTGAAATGTAACCCATTCATCGCGTTATCTGAAGTGAACCAGGTGGTCCATTCAGTCTGCCAAAAGAATACGATTTTGTTCTGCTGTCCACATTCATATCAGTCAGTCATCTGGTACATCCCAGCTTCTGGCTGTATTGGATATACCCAAGGTTCCCAACCATAAATCAAAGCTTGAACCCCTGTGGAGATTTTGTTTATACTGTGACCCTTGGATGACCTTTTGCCAAGCTTCAGTTTTGTTTGTTTTTTTGTTAACTAAAGGCACAATTGAAATAAGCATACTTGACATCATTGGCTTTTTACAGTGAAGAATGTACTGGAGATGCACCAGCTATGAATTTCTGGGCCAAAATATATATATATAAACAAACAATTTGCCCTGTGGTCACTGCCCTTGTTGCATTACTACAATATTATTATCTCCCCCTGCTGGTAATGCAATTTCTGCATGCGTGTCCATTTCACGTTTTGGACGGGCAATGCGTGAAATGAACATGGTAGACCAACATGTCTGTTACACGTTTTGCTGTGATACTGGGTTGCATAATTTGTTTTTGGGGTTTTTTTGTTTGTTTGTTTTTTTAATTTTTAAAAAAAAATAATTTTTCTTCAGTCTTTGTTTATCTCAGATACGTATTTCATATAAACAAAGCATATCAAAAAACACAAAGAGATTAAAAACAAACCCACTAAATTCAACTTCCCATAACTATACCAGTGTCTGAACAATAAAGACAGATAACGTACGGTTCCATGTTATCAGTGTGTTAAGCCCACATTCTCAGAAGCATTGAGCCTGCAGATAAATTAATTCACAATATTTTTAATAAAGCTTTAAATCTACTGAAACGAGTAATTATAAACACCTTGCTTGAGTTGTCTGTCTCTTCAATAATAACATCATAGCATCTTTTTAAAGCTACATTAGGTTTTCGTGAACTCACTTTCCTTTCCTTTGTACAGACATTTGCATAAGAGGAAATTCACTTGTGAATACATCAGTCAACATTTCCTACAGATATTATCATTACCTGTCATTTGATCTGTAATAAGATGAGCCAGATATTCGACCTTACTACCGACAGTAAGATTGTTATCAAGTTTCAACTCTGGAAATCTTTGTCCTCCTCAGTTCTGCAAATCATTACAGGTCACTTACGGGGATTGCATGTAATGTTATTTTCTACAGCATTGGCAGAACATATGTGTATGAGCTGCTGGAGATCAGCACTACTAGCACTATGACCACAAGATCATCTGCATACATAATATCAAACTCTAGAATATTACCAACCGCTTTGTCATAAATGTTGAGTATTTTATCAAAGTGTCTTTGAAATGTATCCAGCATAAACATAGATGACCGCTGTTAGTAGATATGATCATATTTGCTGATATAAGTAAACAAACTGGGCCTTAGAGTGGGCCTTTGTGTTAGGAAGCCCTGTTAGCTACTATATAATCATAGTAATGTGTTAGCTTCTTTAACAGAGGTCTGTACAATTTTGTTATTTCTGGACATTGGAAAAATACATTTTATGATTGAGTATCACATATTGGTGATATTGCTTTGATGAAAGTTCAGAACCTTTTTGGTTAAGGAAAAATCCTGCCAAAGGAAATTTTGTCTTCGATATTGTACTGTGTGCCAATGGCTGCCATTAAAACAGGTCTTCTCTTCATATGCCAGCTCCAGAACTTGGGGATCAACCCAGCCAACATTGGATTTAGCACGCTTACAATGGAGTCTGACAAGTTCATCTGTGTACGAGAGAAGGTTGGTGAACAGGCTCAGGTTGTCATCATTGATTTGGCTGATCCCAACAACCCCATTCGTCGCCCCATCTCTGCCGACAGCGCCATCATGAACCCTGCTAGCAAAGTTATTGCCCTTAAAGGTAAGCCCCCATCTTAAATCCACTGTTGCGCTTTTATCACGTAGTAAGTGTGCTAGGATTTCAAAGCACATGGACTTAAAAATTAAGCAGCTAAAATTGGTTTGTACCTTGCTATCTTGATATTTGTTTTGTTTTTGTAAAAAGTACACTGGTCCATTTGTGTAAAAAAAAAAATAAAATAAATAAAAATAAAAAAATATATATATATATATTGTGTTGTCAGTTATGTAGCCATCACAGTCTGCTTTTCATTTTGATGTTCATATGTAGATCACCCCATTTCTGTTTGTTGAAAACGACTAGTAGCTAAATAGTGTGTGTGTACGTAGAAATGTAATTGTGCTACATTTAGAATTTGCTGTTTTAGTTCACGAAGCAGTAGCACTAGCAAATTGTCATGCTGTCATGAATCCTTTGTCTATTTTGCTTGTTTTTGCTCTTTTTCATTTCTTACTGCTTTCTTATGTTTGCAGACGGTGAGTTGAATTTTATGTATCATGAGTTGTCAGAGTGATCCTGTATGCACTGTCTTGAAATGTTTGCACAGTAATGAAAGTAATTTAAACGAATGTCTGGATTTACAGTAATAACAGTAGGCGAGCACAACAAAATTAAGACAGTAGCTTAAAGGACCATATCTTTTTTTTTTTTCCTTTTGTTTTCTGTGTTCACGTGTTTTTTCCATTAGCTACACCGGAAATATATTTTATATCACAGTTGACCATTTCTAAACACTGTACCTTATTTTCGTACTGTACTGGAGTTGATGACAAATTTAAAAAATATAAAAACCTATGGGTTATATATTTGCATTGGAAAAGTAATAAATTAGACGTTATCCTCCCCATATTTTGTTATTATTTGATAACCAGAGTGTGTGCCTGTGTTGGTCATATAGTCGAATTAATGCACTGACATTGTGGTGAAAACACATGTAAATCTGTCTACGTCTTCATTACACAGCAACAATAAAAGCCTTCAGTAATACAGTTCCTGAGTTATTTTTAAACTGTCATTCACAACCTGAAGGCATCCACATAGCTGCTGAACATCTGAGTCAGAAAGTTGTCTAAACTAAATGAAGATTTTCTGTGACTGACAGTCACCGTAATATACGGAAAGTCAGGTGATTATCTGGAAAAATTGAGATGCCTTGGAAAATAGTTCATAATAAAGTGGAACGTGTGTGTAGTAAAAGGGGAAAAAACATGCAGAAAACAAAATGATATGGTCGTATTAAAAATGTGAAACTGTCAAAAAGGACACCGTGGCAATCACAAAAGGATAACAGAATGGTTAATGAGATTTTCCCATTTTAAGGTCAGGCTTAAGGGTTTTCTTTTGTTTTTTTGGTGAGTGTAGGAAAAACAGAGAATGCTTAAAACAACTGGGCTGTGATGCCAGCCTCATATCACAAAAATGTGCTGCTCAGTGTGCAGGTGCAATTTTGACTGGCTTGCCTCTGGGACAACGCAGATATTAACATCAAATGCTCATTACCTCATTGTCACCTTGCAGATACTGACATTCATGACAGGTTTTCAATAACTGTTCACGTTTTCACACTTTCAGTGTGTGGTGTTACTCTGTTTTAAATAGCGACTAATTGTAATTTTTATTATACCAGAGGATTAGTCATATACATGTGTTAATTATTTAGGGTTTGGGCACACATTTATATTTTATATATTCTAGACTAATAATTTTGCACTTTATATCTTGCATTGTAGTTATGCAGGCAGTTTATTTTATTGTGCACTATACCCACAGTATTACCAAAAACTGTTCAGAAATGCCACTATACTGTCAGTCATGCACTTTGTTACCAGTGAAACATGTGGTTTATTTGGTTTGGGCCAGATTGAGACTAGAGCTTATACCTATAAGAATTGAAGTGTCTTTCCTCCAGTGCGACTGAACTGGAGGAAATGAACAGAATGGCTGTGAGTGCATCTGTCCAGCATCCTTCTCATCATCTCATCTGTTTTTGTGCTTTGTGGTCTTACTAATCTGCATTCAGACCCAAACCGCATCCCTTATTCTGGGATTAAATTTCAGCTTGAATCCCCTAAGACCTATGACAACATGACAGGAGTTTGATTTCTTTAGTAGGTTGTGTGGGTGGAAAGCTCAACAGAGGTCATTTCGAGCATGCACTGTGGACCATGTCATACTAGTAGGTAGGCAGTAGTTCCTAACTGATCTGGTTTGGATTGAAATATTGATGAAGAATTGAAATACTGAACCAAAACTGCATGAAAGGTCACTGTTGAGCCATCTGAGAAGCAAAGACACCATAGTATTTGTGCTAGTGCTGGGCGATATGGAAAAAATATTTATCACGATATGAATTATTTAATATCACGATAACGATAAATATCACGATATACCACCTGACCTGTGGTCATCTATAAAGTACGCAGTCTGTAAACAGCGAGCGCAAAGGGTCCAGTCTTTGTTAATGAAATGGATGGTTACACTCATGTTGGGGTGCGTATCTTTGCTCGTCCATATGTCAGTTGTCAAGGCATAATGCACGACACTGCAAACATCCTTCTCTACTTTGGCCCGGCATACATCATATAAGCAAGGCAACTCGACTTTACTGAAGTGCTTACGACCGGGCATAACGTAACTCAGATCAAGAACTTTGACGAGGTCACGAAAGCTGTCCTTCTCAACTACATAAACAGAGGCGATGCCTTTATAAATGTAACGTGAGATGGCTCCTGTGATTTGTTTATGGCGCTGGGAAGTTTTTTCATACGGCGTGCCTTGTGCGAAAGACTGCTGTATCTTCAGGTAGTATAGCTGAAGATACAGCAATTTTCCCAAATTGCTCCCGTCGTTCCACAACTTGGTTTAGCTCGGATTTTCTGCATTCTTGAGTATTCTTTTTCGTGGACCTTCTGTAGGTGATAGAAGAGATTTGTTGTGTTGCCACTGAGTGCAGGAATAGTTTTATAGCATAGCTTGCAAATGGGCATCTTCTGCTCCATGTTGGTGCTGTTGAACCCAAAATGTAACCAAATCACAGACGTACCCCCTCTTTTCAGTAAAAGTGCTTCTTCTTGGGCTGCCTGTGTAGCTGTCTCTGCCTGTTGCATGTCCAGGCATGAAACTGCAACCTGTCGCACGTCCATCGTTTTGAGTTACCGTAAAGCATGTTGCAAATCCGGGTGCACGCAAAGCAGCACCATATCGCAAAACCACAAGAGTTTCTTTGTGAAAAATATCAATTTTTATACTTTATTTTTTCTTGCATAAAGTTCAGAGCATGTATAGTGAGAAGACGACACAAATTTATTTGCCGCAGGCTATTTAACCCTTTAAGACCTACCATAGAACCAAGTCCGCCAGAGCTTATTTTTATATTTTTAAATGCTGTAGTGCCATTTGTGGGAGAATTTAAGTTGCTATACATCAATACAACCGTTATAGCCCAAATTGTAATAATATGTATGCATTAAGTCCATAGTAACTACATAAATTGCAAAAAAGCGCAATAAACTACAAAAAAAATTTAAAATTGTTTGGTTTTTTTTACATATATTTCTAGTTAGAGAAATTTAAGAGGCTTATTCCTTTAAAACTTTAAATACAAAAAAGTTGCACAAAATAGTTTCCAACCACGAGAAATTTATTTTTAGTGTCTTCATAGTTTTATTTTTGAGATACACAAATTTTTATATACTTCAGGAAAAATGAAAAATATTATAATGCAAATTTGCAAAAAAAAAAAAAACAGCATGTGCATCAAAATAAACTATTTACAACGGTGTAATTTGAGATCTAAGCATCCCAGAAACAATACAGAAAAGCATAAAGTCAAACATGACTTTTAAAAACACCAGCAAAGGCTTATAAGGCCCTGAAGGTAAAGAACTACATTTCCGCGAAATGATGTCACGTCCGGTTTCGGGCAGGTGCTGACACGCGATAGTTCGCGCTGACGTATTCCAATGTAGGAAGTGTTATGAACAACTGATCGGATCGGCAAAGCCTGTTTCTGGAATATTATGTTTTTGTTTCTGCAAATGCTTTTTATGCAATTTTTGCAAAGCTATATGTGGAAGGAAACCGTGACCTAGGACAAGCTAATGGCATAAGATGTAAGTACAACTCCGGTTTCATATGCAAGAACAATTATTGCGCTAGCTTACGTGTTTACAGTTCTACAGGGATTTAAAAATAGTTAGGCAAAAGGAGTGTGCCTGCTCCGGTTTTAAAGGGTTAATGATATATTTTATGTAATAATTTATAAAATTAGGTTAGAAAGGATAGAAGACAAAATGGCATGATAGACACTTTTCTGTCGTCCACACGATATATATCGTCATATCGCCCAGCACTAATTGGTGCTATTTCCAATCAAGCTCCAGTACTGCATTAAAAAATGCAACCACCTGCAACTGCATCAGAATGCTAATAAGAGTAACTGATAATGAAATTTGGGTGTCAGTACCAGTTTCAAGGGAATAGAAGAAAAATTTGGGTATCAGTTTTCTTGCCAACAGATATTAAGCAACATACAGGCCTATACACTGGTTCTAGTCTAATTGGAAGAAGACCAATCTGACTGATAGATCTGTGAGTTTAAAGCTTTTTATGATAAGGGATTGGGTTATTCCAATCCTCCATTGCCACTGCAAATGAATCTGTTTGTTTCTATGGATATTTAGCCAACAGTTTGGCACACCTCATTTAGTTTCTTTGCAATCTTGGCTACCTCTTGCTGTGCCGACCTCACTGAAATGAATGTGGGAGCTGTATTTCTTTGATGCAGTGCTAAGCACAGTCTGAGTTTCTCTAATAAAAAGAAGAGTAATTAATTGGTGAATGATTTTATATTATCACAAGAGGGTTGTATAGTTAGACGCAGATGAACACGTAACAGTTTATTGCATCAGATGTTACTGAATGCAGATCCAACATTTTAAGTGGTTGCCCTTTTGTTGGTCTTGCCCCTTTTTTGTTGACACTGGTACTGGCTTTTTGTATGGTCTGTCGGTGTTACACACACAAAAACCAAAAAAAACCAAAACCCTCCCCGATTACCTGCATTTCCCCCGCAATTGGAAGAGGTATGCCCAATTGATTTCCTCCCAAACTCTGCTGTGGGTTGTGTGCCGTAGCTTTAGTCAGTAGACCGATTCAAGTTTTCTTTCTTTCTTCCTCGTTTTAAATGTTACAATCTAAAAATTTTGGAGGGGGTGGGCTAGCAGCGTCCCAGCGCGGCTAACGTGTTAACCTCAGCTCTAAATATTTTCAGCTGCAAAGACCCTGCAGATCTTTAACATTGAGATGAAGAGCAAGATGAAGGCTCACACGATGACGGATGACGTGACCTTCTGGAAGTGGATCTCCCTCAACACTGTCGCCCTGGTCACAGACAACGCGGTCTACCATTGGAGCATGGAGGGTGACTCTCAGCCAATCAAAGTATTTGACCGTCACTCCAGCCTGGCAGGCTGCCAGATCATCAACTACCGCACTGATGCCAAACAGAAGTGGTTGCTGCTCATTGGCATTTCTGCACAGGTGAATTAACACAGTTTGCTTTAGCCTCGTAATATTACAATCAAAATAATATTTCAGACAAAATATTAAAATGATGTCAGTGTGTGTGAAATGCATCACATTTGTATTAGTCATTGCAGGGTAAGTTTATGATATAGCAGAATTTATAGCAGAAAAAACCCCATCACAGACTTTAGTCTGACTTGTGGGCGTTCTCTCCTCCTCAGCAAAACCGTGTCGTTGGAGCCATGCAGTTGTACTCGGTGGACAGAAAGGTTTCTCAGCCTATTGAAGGACATGCTGCTGGATTTGCACAGTTCAAGATGGAAGGCAACACCGAGGAATCGACTCTGTTCTGCTTTGCCGTGCGGGGACAGGCGGGAGGAAAAGTAAGATTTATACTTATTAAGAGAAGCTCAAAGCCTCGTAGCTGCAAAATAAAAAGATCGGGATGAAGTAATTTTAGTGGAAATTAATACTGATTAGAAAAAGGCATTTGGGGTCTTGCTTTGTCTTCTTTTTGTTTTCATTACTTTTTTCTCCCCTAGCTCCATATTATTGAAGTGGGGACTCCACCAACTGGGAACCAGCCGTTTCCAAAGAAAGCTGTGGATGTTTTCTTTCCTCCAGAAGCCCAGAATGACTTCCCTGTGGCCATGCAGGTACAAAACCTCCCTCTTCTTTAATCTGAGGCTTTGTTTATTTAGTATTTAGTTTGGTATCCTGCTAAAGAGTCTTCCTATCTATACATGTTATATCTCCCTTCCCCTTTCTGTACATCTAGATCAGTTCCAAGCAAGATGTAGTCTTTCTCATCACCAAATATGGCTACATCCACCTATATGACTTGGAAACTGGAACCTGTATCTACATGAACAGGATCAGCGGAGAGACCATTTTTGTCACTGCCCCCCATGAACCTACTGCTGGAATCATTGGAGTCAACAGGAAAGGACAGGTACTCAAATGTACACTTGTGGAGTACATTTTGCAGTAGCAAGTCTAGAATGCAATGATGAATGAGCCGCTTATTAATTTCCAGTGGAGCACAGAGCCAAGCTTAGTATAGATATTTCATCTGGGCCTTTGTGCAAGTGAACAGGTTAAACTGTGTTTAATTTTGGATGCAAAATGAGTTGAATAATGTTTTTGGTAGATGTTTTAAATATGTGACAGATAAAATTAATATATTTCTTATCAGATTCCAATTTTATTTTAATATTTGTGACTACATATTGTTTTTGAAAATTGCTTAAAGATATTTTCCAAACCTGATGTATATTTTTAAACCAGTCTGCACACATGTGTAGTGGACTACTTTCCCTGTGGTGTGTTGGCCCTGGTATGTCAGCGTGGAGCCTTGGGTGTGACCTTGACTGAGGAAATCTCTGAAAATATCAGGCAGTGGCAGCATCTTCAGTGTCAGGCAGCATGTGACACTAACAGCAGGTGGCCTCAGCTTGGCCAGGCAGACTACGCAGTCTAATCCTGTTATTGCTCTTGGCTCTCACCTGCGGGTCTGCTGCACACAGGCCAGTGTGCTACACACACGCACACACATTTCATGTGCAACTGTGTGTGTAACACTGTACACGACAGCTTGTGGTAATCCCTGCATGTAATTCAGAAACGTGACAAGTGCAGGTCTCATAATGCAGTTCTTTTAACTCAGATTTTGAACAGTGAACTTAATTTCAAACCCAGGTTTGCCAGCAGTTATTCTCAGTTTTGTGTCGAATATGTGCCTGTCTCTTTTTGTGTCTTTATATCACTGTACACCAAACTGCATTTACATTTTGGTGGACTTTTGTTGGAAGGTGTTGTAGCTGGATACAGTTTGACATGAACTAAGAACTTTTAAAAAAAAAAATATTCTGCCAGTTTTGGAGCATCATAGTATTTATTATTTAGATTCTTTTGAATGTATGATGTGAATCTTTTATATAGGTTCATTAGTCTTTTAGGAGTGTACAGAATATAAAGACAGTTTAATGTGATCCTAATGAAAGGAAAACGAAACATAAATAACACTGCCTGTTATGCTTTTAGCTTAAATATAATGGCACTTTTTGTTCCCGGTGTTTTAAAAACAAAGTCAACATGTGGCATGTTACAGTTAATCTGTCACCAGGAATAACACCTGTTAGGCCAGAGTAATACGTCATCTCAGCCTCACCTAGCTCCCTGAGCCCTGCTGCACTGAAAGTTGAAGAAGATGAATTTCAACTCAGTTTTATTTATATAACGCAAATCACAACAACAATCACCTCAAGATGATTGTTGTTATAATTCAGCGGTCCCCAATCTTTTTTGCGCCACGGACCGGTTTAATGTCAGACAATATTTTCACGGACCGGCCTTTAAGGTGTCGCGGATAAACAACAAAATAAAATGATACGACCAAGACAACAACTGTGGTATCTTGCAAATATAATAATAAATGCGAATTTACTGTGTAATTGTGTAACTTTATTAGCAGCGTACTCCTGAAATGCACCAACAACATTGAGAGTAACGTCCTCCTCTCTGCCTTTTAATGCTCTCTGGTCGCTATGGTAACGAGTAAATATTTCTTTCAAAATAAGACACAACTACAACACGGGAAAAGACCCAGGGAAACCAAGTCAATGATAACCATAAATTTCACACCCGAGCCTCAACCTAACAGCTCATGGACTGGTACCGGTCCATGGCCAGGGGGTTGGGGAACACTATTGTAAGGTAATGATGCTTACAATAATAACTAGAGGGGACCCTTAATATCAGATGACCCCCTTGTGATAAAGGAGTGTGAAGGGATATTAAGCAAAAGGAGTCTCATTTTGTAAAACCGAAAAGCATCCAAACACCAAACACAGCTCCTTTCTTGGTCTGAAGGTTTTTTTGGAGCATCACTGTTCGCGTCACCTCCATGTGTCTTTACTTTTCTCAGCCTCCAGCTGTAGGATTTCCCATCATGTTATGTGCCAGCTTAATTTTGTAAGTGTGTCATTATTAGTTTTAGAGATAGTTAAGACTTTACAAACTATTGAGTGCCGTGGTGTTTTCCCTAAATGAGAGAGAATTGATTGTGAATGAATAATTGTTGTCTTTGTATACATTTTTGCATCATGTGATTAGAACAGCAAGAACAGTGCAGTGGATACAGGTCCCCTGTCATTAGTGGCAGTCAGTAACATTTAAACGCCTTTAAAAGTCACAGTGAATGTGTTTTGTCGCGGTTCAGTTCTAATTCTGTCAGGCGGGCAATTACCACCAGTACACCTAGCATACGCCACAGCACAAATATCAGTGTTAAATAGCTAGCAAAGACAACAGCTGTTTAAAAAGTATGAACAGCTTCTAACTAACTGTAAAGGAAGTTGGGTGTTACCAATTACACATGCGTTTATGTGCACATTTGATTTTCCAGGTGTTGTCTGTATGCGTGGAGGAGGAAAACATCATTCCATACATCACCAATGTGCTCCAGAACCCAGACCTTGCACTCCGAATGGCTGTCCGCAACAACCTCGCTGGTGCTGAGGAGCTGTTTGCTCGCAAGTTCAACACCCTTTTTGCAGCAGGAAATTACTCAGAGGCTGCAAAGGTGGCAGCGAATGCACCCAAGGTACTGCCATTGTGCTTCTGTGCACTGAGACTGTGAGTCTAAGATTTCAGTAGCTTATATAACTATGAAAACCAAAGAAAATTTGTAAAAACAAGTTTAGATATTGCTTCAAAAATTGTTTAAAGGGAGTACAGCCCGCGCGCTGCTTTTATTCCTTTTTCCCGTATTTTACCTTTTTGTATTTTCAATGGGCTAAGAAGTTTCCATCCTACCTCTCCAGGGTATTCTGCGAACACCAGACACCATCCGTAGGTTCCAAAGTGTTCCCGCCCAACCAGGCCAGACGTCTCCCTTGCTTCAGTACTTTGGCATCTTGCTGGATCAAGGCCAACTTAATAAGTTTGAGTCTCTGGAGCTCTGCAGACCTGTCCTTCAGCAGGGCCGAAAGCAGCTACTGGAGAAATGGCTAAAAGAGGATAAGGTATGTGTTTAGTGGTTGGTTTTAAAGTGGACAGTCTTTATCTTAAGTTTAAATATTTATATCTCAAGTTCATCTATCATATCATAGAGTAAAAAAAAAACTGAGACCATGTAAAATCTGAGTGCTACTCTGACTCACTGAATCACATAAATCATTTAGTATAAAGCAGAAGATCATGTAGGCCAGTGAAACCCAGATTCCCTTTTTTTGTTTTTGTTTTTTCCACTGTACCATGGCAGATCACTGTTATAGTTTCTAACCCTTCTGTTTGTGTTTACAGCTGGAATGTTCTGAGGAGCTCGGAGACTTGGTGAAGTCTGTAGATCCAACTCTCGCCCTCAGCGTCTACCTCAGAGCCAATGTTCCCAATAAGGTCATTCAGTGCTTTGCAGAGACTGGCCAATTCCAGAAGATTGTTCTCTATGCCAAGAAGGTTTGTGATGACTGACTTGGTAAATAAAATATCTTGGGCTGTAATATGGTTCACAGTGTTTTGTTTTGTTTTTTAATACACCTACATCACAGATGGGGAGCATCTCATACATCCTTACATGTCTGTCATCCTTGTAGGTTGGCTACACTCCAGACTGGATCTTTTTGCTAAGGAACGTTATGCGGATCAGTCCAGAGCAAGGTCTTCAGTTCTCTCAGATGCTGGTTCAGGATGAAGAGCCACTGGCTGACATTACACAGGTAAAAATAAAGATTTTTGGGGGGTAACGTGGCTAAAAGATACTATGACTATGATCTGAATCGTAGTTATTCTCACAGTTGTAGCTGAGCACATGATTGCAAAAATATCCCACACCTCTGCGATGTGTAGCAACACAACCAAGATTTTGAGAGTTTAACTTTTGCGGTTTCTCTGTTATTTAATTTTCCAGATTGTTGACGTATTCATGGAGTACAACCTGATCCAGCAGTGCACGTCCTTCCTACTAGATGCCCTGAAGAACAACAGACCCATGGAGGGACCACTGCAGACACGCCTGCTGGAAATGAATTTGGTCCATGCACCACAGGTACATGAACATGTAGATACATCAGGTCCAGACAGGCCAGATTATTTCATTTACCAGTGACCAGTAGGTCTCACCTAAACTAAAACGGCGCTCTAGCTTTCTTTCCCCAACTTCTTTCACAACAGATCAAATCTTTTGCTGTTTACAGACATGTTTGGATTTGAGTGTCTGTGTGTGACAGGGCCTGTCTGTGTGCCATTTGTTGCAGGTTGCAGATGCCATTCTGGGTAACCAGATGTTCACCCACTATGATCGCGCTCACGTGGCCCAACTGTGTGAGAAAGCAGGCCTCCTGCAGAGGGCGCTGGAGCATTACACTGACTTGTATGATATTAAACGAGCAGTGGTGCATACACACCTTCTCAACCCAGAGGTACGACACAGATCGAGAATATAAAATTGCTGTTGTGGTTTGCAGTGATTGTCTTTGTGTCGCTGATGATTTTCTATTTATCTCTTCAGTGGTTGGTGAATTTCTTTGGCTCCCTGTCTGTGGAGGATTCCTTGGAGTGTCTGAGGGCCATGTTATCTGCCAACATCCGGCAGAACCTGCAGATCTGCGTGCAGGTCGCCTCCAAGTACCACGAGCAGCTCACTACTCAATCCCTCACTGAACTGTTTGAGTCATTCAAGAGCTTTGAGGGTTAGTGGGGAAGGTGCAAAAAAACAAAACCTAACGTATCTTTTGTTTTACTACTTTTGCTAATTCTGAGTTTTTTTGCTTTGAAGGTTTGTTCTATTTCTTGGGCTCAATTGTGAACTTCAGCCAGGATCCTGAAGTTCACTTCAAATACATTCAGGCTGCGTGCAAAACAGGCCAAATCAAAGAGGTGGAGAGAATCTGCAGAGAAAGCAATTGCTACGACCCCGAACGTGTGAAGAACTTCCTCAAGGTCCGTGCAGAAAACGGTTATCTGCAAAATAAACCTGTGATTTTTCTGTCTGTCAACATTTTATTGTGTTTTTTCCAGGAAGCCAAGCTTACCGACCAGCTGCCATTGATCATCGTGTGTGACCGCTTTGATTTCGTCCACGATCTGGTCCTGTACCTGTACCGCAACAGCCTACAGAAATACATTGAGATCTATGTACAGAAGGTACATTAATAAAACTCCATCCTTTTACTCGTTTATTCTCTCTCGGTATTGGTCTACCTCTGTGGTTGTGCATTTGTTTTTACCTTGATGGAAACGTGTCATAATTCTGTTGTCATTTATTCCAGGTGAACCCGAGCCGTCTGCCAGTAGTCATTGGTGGATTATTGGATGTGGACTGTGCCGAAGATGTAATTAAGAACCTGATCATGGTGGTGAGAGGACAGTTCTCCACAGATGAACTGGTCGCTGAAGTGGAGAAAAGAAATCGGTGAGAACCAAAAGAACTGTGCACCGCAAAAGAGGAATCGCTCGCTCGGCGGTCTAACTCGACCTGTGTGTTAAACTGGTCCTTTCCCTTCATGATATTCTGTCAAAGCTTGTGACACGTTTACTGTGCCTCCTTCTCCAGCTTGAAGTTGTTGCTGCCTTGGTTGGAGGCTCGTATTCATGAAGGCTGTGAGGAGCCTGCAACCCACAACGCCTTGGCCAAGATCTACATCGACAGCAACAACAACCCCGAGCGTTTCTTGAGGGAGAACCCCTACTATGATAGCCGCGTGGTGGGCAAGTACTGTGAAAAGAGAGACCCCCACCTGGCTTGCGTGGCTTATGAAAGAGGACAGTGTGACCAGGAACTCATTCACGTGAGTTTAAAAACAAATCATTTTAACTGGAAGGCGAAATTCCGGGTCATTAGTAATACGAGGTTTTTATTGGCCTTTTATTTCAAATATTTTCGTTCTGCTTCAGGTGTGCAATGAGAACTCACTGTTCAAGAGTCTGTCCCGCTACCTTGTACGCCGCAAGAACCCAGAGCTGTGGGCAAGTGTGCTGTTGGAGACCAACCATTACAGAAGACCACTCATTGACCAGGTGTGACTTTTTACTATCTCTGATACTAAATCATGCCACTTAAACTAGTGTATTGTTAAAAGTTCCCAGGCTGTAACACTTCGTTAGCTTGCATACTGTAAACCAATCATCAGCTGTTATGCATCATGTTTGTCGTCGGTCTCTGCTGCAGGTCGTCCAGACAGCCTTATCAGAGACCCAGGATCCAGAGGAGGTGTCTGTCACAGTCAAGGCCTTCATGACCGCCGACCTTCCTAACGAGCTCATTGAGCTTCTGGAAAAGATTGTGCTGGATAATTCTGTCTTTAGTGAACACAGGTAAGAGTCTTACCTGTATTTAATGTTGTTCTTCTTTTATTTAACCCTTCATATCCAAGATTTAGACATCACTGAGTCCCCTGCTCATAGTTGTTGTTCCAGTTGACGAACATTGAGCTTGCAAAGCATTCGATATATTCAATAATGCATTTAGTGAAAAGCTTGTATCTTGTTGATTTCAGAAACCTTCAGAATCTCCTCATTCTGACTGCCATTAAAGCTGATCGGACACGCGTCATGGAGTACATTAACCGTCTGGACAACTACGACGCCCCAGACATTGCAAACATTGCCATCAGCAATGAGCTGTTTGAGGAGGCCTTTGCTATATTTAGAAAATTTGATGTCAACACTTCTGCTGTGCAGGTGCGCGCTTTCGTTATTAACTACAACTTCTTTAAAGTTTTTAAACACCTTGTTTTTGTCTTAATTCAGAGCGTGCTAACAGCCCTCAGAGTTTTGCCGGTCATTTTGATATTCAGCGATCTGAATGTTTGCTGCTGTCCAGGTCCTGATCGAACACATCGGCAACCTGGACAGAGCTTATGAATTCGCTGAGCGCTGCAATGAGCCCCCAGTTTGGAGTCAGCTGGCAAAGGCGCAGCTTCAGAAGGGCTTGGTGAAAGAAGCCATCGACTCTTACATTAAGGCTGATGATCCCTCGGCCTACATGGAGGTGGGACAAGCTGCAGCCCAAAGCGGTAAGATGATCTCTTTCAGTTTTTTAAAACTAAGATCTAAGATCTTTATCACTTACCTTATTGTTTTATTTAATCAAGATACTTAAATGGCGTAATGTTAAATATGCAGTAGATAGGTGCTTATGGTAGTTAATTTTTGTGTGCAGGAAACTGGGAGGACCTGGTGAAGTTCCTGCAGATGGCTCGAAAGAAAGCCCGCGAGTCATATGTTGAGACAGAGTTGATCTTCGCCCTGGCCAAGACCAACCGCTTGGCCGAGCTGGAAGAGTTCATCAACGGACCCAATAATGCTCACATTCAGCAAGTAGGTCCTGGGACACACACACACACACACACACAGTTGTACATACAGCAGTTCCCAGTTAATTCTTTACCCCGTGTTTACAATTACAGCTGCTTCGCTGGTCTAACTTAATTTGTTCATCTTCCATTAGGTGGGTGATCGATGCTATGACGACAAGATGTACGAGGCAGCCAAACTGCTTTACAATAATGTGTCAAACTTTGGCCGTCTGGCCTCAACTCTGGTTCACCTGGGAGAATACCAGGCAGCTGTGGACGGTGCCCGCAAGGCTAACAGCACCCGTACCTGGAAGGAGGTGAAGGAGATCAGTTTCATTTTTGAAAGTATAAAGAGTGAGATCAAGTTCAAGCCTTATGTTCAAAACACAAACTCCCTCGACTGACTAATTTTAACAGCTGTTTTTTTTTTCCCTCTGCTCTGTCAGGTGTGTTTTGCTTGTGTAGATGGGAAGGAGTTCCGTCTTGCCCAGATGTGTGGCCTGCATATTGTTGTCCACGCTGATGAACTGGAGGAGCTCATCAACTACTACCAGGTATGTGGGGTACCTGTTGGCCAAACACCATGGTCTTTCAATGAATGATAAGTAGGTGAGCATGTATACTATCACTAATCTGGCATAAATAACAGTCAACAGTCATATAAGCCTGAGGATAGCAGGGTTTCCAGTTTTCTCCAGCTTACAGATGGTATATTGTTTTCCTGCGCCTCAGCGCACTGTATCTACAGACTTGAGTTTTGTTTATGATGGTTCAAGGGCCTCAAAATAACTTCCCAGATTGTGTAGGGGAGCGAGATTAAGGGTTATAGTTGTGTCACTAAGTCTGTCTGTATCCTCCAGGACCGTGGTTACTTCGAGGAGCTGATCACCATGCTAGAGGCTGCCCTTGGGTTGGAGCGTGCTCACATGGGCATGTTCACTGAGCTGGCTATCCTCTACTCCAAATTCAAACCCCAGAAGATGAGGGAACACCTGGAGCTCTTCTGGTCCCGTGTTAACATTCCAAAGGTGGGTGTGAGAAACGGATTTAGTATGAGCTTTACAGCCAAGCAGATTTTGGCAGGAATCTGACGAAATGCATCACAATACACAGACTGCGACTGCAGTTCAGTATAATGTGATTGTTTTAAACATTTTAACCAAACTTTATCTAAAGAATTAGGATTTAAAAAGAAATAAAGTAAATAAACTCCTCAGAGGAACAGCATCTACAACTTTGAGATCTTCAGTAACGTCCATAAACCCGCATTCGTTTTCAATTGTTAAATTTGACTTGATGTCTGTTTGTGTGTCAGGTTCTCAGGGCAGCTGAGCAGGCCCACCTCTGGGGAGAACTTGTGTTCCTCTATGACAAGTATGAGGAATATGACAATGCCATCATCACTATGATGAATCACCCAGCTGATGCCTGGAAGGAAAGCCAGTTCAAAGACATTGTCACTAAGGTACAAAACATAATTTAAAAGCATATGGTAGTGCTAACAACTACTTCTCTTGACAGGAATACAGCACAGAGCTGCCCTTTTTTTCCAAAAAACTTGTTTAACTTCATTATGTTTGTCATAGGTGGCTAACGTTGAGCTGTACTACAAGGCCGTCCAGTTTTATCTCGAGTTTAAACCACTGCTGCTGAATGACCTCCTTATTGTCCTCTCTCCAAGACTGGATCACACACGTGCTGTCAACTTCTTCAGCAAGGTCAGTATGATTTTCTTTGACTGTTTCTTTGGTTCAAATCAAAAGATCAAGACTTTTGCCAGACTGAAAACTGATAAACATTTCTGTCTGTTCAGGTGAAACAGCTGCCTCTGGTTAAGCCTTACCTAAGGTCTGTCCAGAATCACAACAACAAGTCGGTGAATGAAGCACTTAACAACCTCTTCATCAATGAAGAAGACTATGCGGTATGGTTTCATGTGCTGTGCTCTGTTTGATTACAAGAGAAACTCTTTGTTATTGTTAATTCCAGCAAGCACACATTTAAAACGTTGCAGTTGTTCCGCATCTTGCTTTCTCAGCCTAATCTCACAATTGTTTCTCGTGTTACTCAGGCGCTGCGCACTTCCATCGACGCTTACGACAACTTCGACAACATCTCGCTCGCCCAGAGCCTGGAGAAGCACGAGCTGATTGAATTCAGGAGGATCGCAGCCTATCTTTTTAAAGGCAACAACCGCTGGAAACAGAGTGTCGAGCTCTGCAAGAAGGACAAGCTCTACAAGGTGCGTGGGTACAAAATTAACAAATGAGTTGCAGAAGAAAAGTACATTCCTAAAAGCAATGTAAATATAAAAATTTACATTTGAGCGTGGAAACAAACGATTAGGTGTGTCAGTTTGTTGACCTGGCTTTTTTTTCCTGCAGGATGCCATGCAGTACGCATCAGAGTCCAAAGACACTGAGCTGGCAGAAGAGCTCCTGGCTTGGTTCTTGAAGGAAGACAAGAAAGAGTGTTTTGCTGCCTGCCTATTCACCTGCTACGACCTGCTGCGGCCCGACGTAGTACTGGAGACTGCCTGGCGACACAATATCATGGACTTCTCCATGCCGTACTTCATCCAGGTCATGAGGGAATATCTCACTAAGGTGGGTTGGCCAGAGGTAATGAGGATTAGGACAAAGTAAATGACTTTATGATAAGGCCTCTAAAGAGAGAAAAGCATCTCATGTTAGAAACCCAATTTATAATTGTAAGGTCAAAAGTTTAGATACACTCATCATGGGTATGAATGTCATTGCAGCTAAGTGATTTCTTTGAGGCGTTCGCTTTCCAGGGTTAAATGATTGTACAGCATACATCTTTAATATTTTTAAAAACAAGAATTGGCTGCATACGTTTGAATTTATTTTATATTTTCTCTAATCCACACAGACACAAAGGTAAATACAGGGTACCATATATACATAGATCCCCACTTATATTTAGTTAAATGTCCCTTAGCAAGCATCGACCAGATGCTTTTGGTAGCCATCAATAAGCTTTCATTGTAATTCTGGCTGGATATTTGACCACTCTTCTTAACAGAATTGGAAGAATTCATTTAAATTAGTTGGCTTTTATGTGTATTCCACAAATTATAAATAGGATTGAGGTCGGGGCTTTGGAAAGGCTATTCTAGAAACGTATTTTAAGTCTGCTTTATTCATTCCAAAAACAGTTCTGATGTGTTTTTAGGATCATTTTCCTGTTAGAACATGTAATTCTGTCCAAGTTTCAATTGTGTAGCTGATTTAAGATGAAGTTGAAGAACTTGGAGATAATCCTCCTCCTACATTATTCCATACACGTTGTGCAATGTACCAGTACTACTGGCATCAAAACAGCCCCAGAGCATGATGCCGCCACCACCATGGTTGACAGCTGGTACTTATGTTTAAAACCCTCACCTTTACTTCTCCAACGAAAGCATTTGTCTTGTTCATGTGGTAAGCTGTAAATTACTCCGCTTGAAGGTGTTTATTTTGGAGCAGGGACTTCTTTTTTGGTCAGCACTCTCTGTCCATGGTGATGTTAAACTTGCTTCACAGTAACAAGTGTTACTGGTGTTCCAGCAGTTTCCAGCTCATGACAGGCTTAAGCCTCATGGTGGTTCCTGAGTTGTTCCTGAACATCCTAACCCATTTCCTCTCATCTGAGGGTGACAGCTTGGGTCTTCCAGTGAGTGCTGTCAAACAAATCCTTTTCATGCTGGTAAAGAGAAACAACCAGTTGTAGTCAATTCTGATCACTAATGAGAAGTTAATAAGTCTTGTCAAGTTAAAAGATACTGTGGATCAGATTTATGTGCATTTTTGATTCTGTCTAAATAGCAGAAGATCATAAATAAATTCAAACTTGTGCACCAGACCCTTGTCTTTTAAAATCATTAAAGATGTATGCTGTACAATCATTCCACCCTAGAAAAAGAACATTATAAGCCCAAAGTAACCATGACATTCATGCCCATGGTGAGTGTTTGTGTGTGTCCAAACCTCTGACCACAACTGTATAAGGACATGCAGAGATGTTTCTTCTGCTGTTAGATTTAAAGACTTAAATTAGTCCCATCGTCCCTTCAGCCATCTTTGGAAGACTAAGAAAAATATTAAGAAATCTTTTTTCTGATCAGTGCCCAGGATTTCCATCCATCTGTTACAAGAAACAGTAGCAGCAGCTAAAATGTGTTTGCAAATACTGTTGGACTCTCAACAGTATTGCACAGTTAAAGCCCCCACCTCCCAGTACTGCCAGTTCTTTCCTTCATTCATGTTCATCGTCCTTTGCATCTGTCAGTCACCATGTGTCATCACTGGTGTTTTCCTTTTTTCATTTGGGTTTCCATCTATTCAAGCTGCTTTTCCATACAAATGTGTTACGGAGGAGATTCATAACTGCTGCGTGACTCATTACGCCATTTATCTCTGTTACATGGCAAGCAAAGCCCACACGAAAGAGAAACACCTGATTCTTTCATAACAGCGCGCAGACCCGAGTGAAGCATTTACACATTTATGTTCCAGTTTTTGATGATAAATTCAAAATACTTCAGTCTGTTATTTAAGCTGTTAAAGAAACAAAGTGATTGTGTCACGTTAAATGAAGGGATTGTGTATATCTGGGTCTTTTTTAGCAACATAGAGGAGCCATGTTGTTTATACTAGTCTAAAAAGTGAGGCGCAAGTTCACGGTAGCAGGTTTGATCTCAAGTGTGCATTTGTATCAAAAGTGGCATTAATTACCCGCATCACTCGTAGGATTTTTATATTTCTTCTTTAAGTGACAAGTCCTCTGTTTGCTCTCTCTCTCTCTTTCTCTCTGTCACTTTCTATTTTGGGAGACTCCCATTTGTTTTTTCCTCCCTAAGTTGCCTCTCTGAATTTCCTTTCCAGGTTGATGCGATAAAGGAAAAGGTGAAAGTCCAATCCATTTTCTAATCATTCTTTTTGACCCTGTCCCCTGTCCTGTAGCCTGTAGTTTGGAGCAGTAAAACTAGTACAAACTGCATGTTCCCTCCCCTCCCGTCCCCTCTCCCATGTCACTCTCTGCTGCTTCTGACTGTAAATTCCACATCTCCACTAGACCACCTACCAACCCACGAGACTCCAGAGCGGGGCTCTTCACGCCCATCAAGAGCCCTGATCGGCTTGCTGGTGTGTCCGTGACGGCTTGAGTTTTGCCTCAGGCCAGGAATCACAGAACTGATTGGTGAATTGGACACGTAGCTGACAGCTAAACTCAGATTAATTGCTGATTCAGCTCCTGAGACTTTATGACACTTCCACAGTCATTTTTTTTGAAGATCTGTTATAGCAGTGCAACGGTAACGGCCACCTGCCACAGCTGAAAGCAGCTTCAGAGTCTCTCAGTTGGTCTTTGTAAGTCTGCCTCTTAGAGAAAGCCCTTTCACATATTTGTGTCAGACGTGCAACCGAGCCCTCGACTGAAGCCAGCATGCTTATCAGCTCTCCTCGGCCGTGGGTGAACAGTGCCACTCTGCTTAGCCTCCCCTCACCTGCTGTGGGTCAGGTCCTTTTTCTGAGATTTGTAGATTAATTCATGTTTTACTGTCTCGTACCTCTGCTCAGCTGCGCTCTACTGCTAACAAGTTTATTTCAGGAAGCAGATGTGTTCATACTGTCGATGTTCTAGGTTTGCCTTTTTTTGGTTTTAATCAAATATTGGGAGGATATTGTTCTGTTTAAACAGTGGTGCATTAGCATAGACTGCAGCTGAGTGTAATATTAGCATTAGAGGAGCCACAGAGGCTCCATTTTAACAAAGTATTTCTTTTCTGTTGCTTTCTGTCTGCCTGTACTTATTTCAGTGCTATAGTTACAATACTGGCATTAGAAACCATAAATGTTAGCCTGTTACATGCATTTTTAGAGGGTGTATGTTTCTCTGTTTCTTTGAGTATTCTTGCAAAGTGAGCTCTCTTCAAGCGACAAATTGCTTTTGTGGGTCAGGGAATAAAATCTGTAGTCCGGGTGTATCCACTGGGGAGAAAAAAATCAGAACTTGTAGAAAACGACCAGCATGCATTTCCCTCCTCCTCCCTTGGTAGCATCAGCTGCACTCAGGCCAGGCTAAGAGACATGTTGTTGGCTGTGCCTGCTTCTTGGAAACGTTGAACTGGCTGTACAGTACCATCCCCTCCACCCTGTCGTTCACACTCCCTCCACTTTGGCTCTCTGCTTCTCTGTCTTTCTCTCATGCACTCCTCAAGAAATAAATGACTAAACTGCTGCTTCAGCATGTCTCTAATAAATCGGCACACTTTTCTTAAAACGGCCTCTTAACTAGATCGACTGATGTTTTTCTTTTTCACTAGTAAACCAGACAGTATGTAGAGAACTGAACCCAAAACCACCGTGAGAGAATCCAACCCCCCTTTTTGTTTAAGTTATCTTATCTCAACTGCAATGCACGCTGGCGTAGCCGAGAGCACTGAGGGTAATATCTGAAGCTTCCCGCTGGCTGCTTAATTCTCTGAATTGTTTCAACTGTATCTTTTGTCCTTTCGACTGTCATTGTCTGCTTCTGAGCTGAGGCTAAAACACCAAAGAAGAAATAATGGGAAGTTTGAGAAAGTTTATCTCAAGGCTTTTACATGTTTTACAGAGCTGTTTACACCCATGCAGGGAGTTAGAGATACGATATGTAGCATGTTAGCTGCACAATAAATAATATTAAAGTGACAAAAGTGAACGTCTGATTTTCAGGCTTTAGAAAATGTAGTTTAAAGCCTGAAAAGTCTGGGGGGCTTCATCCAATCACACCTCTTTTCTGGTAAAGGTCAGGTGAGTAGTAAAAAAACAAAAAAGGAATTAAAACACTTCATTGCATGATTGGAAGGAGGAAGCAAGGGGTTATCAATCTATATATATTTACCTTTTCATTTTATTTGACCTTATTTTACATTCATTTAATTTTGCCTCTATATAATGGCCACTTTCGCCTGTAAAAGTATTAAATCCTGGAAACACCAAGTTCTTACTGGTGTGGATTGGCATTTGTGTTTTCAGAACACACTGGATGCTAAGCTAGGAAACAAAGATGACGACAGATCCAAGCAGGTTGGTTAGTATACGACAGTGATTTTTAAAAAAAGAATGAGGTTAAGTTAAAGGTAAAATGTGACAGTAAGATGGTTGAAATTGCGTAGTTGTAGTGTTCTGGAAGAAAAGCCTGATGTCAGGGTGTTTGCACTGGTGCAGGGTGGGTTCTCTACATACTCACACTTGTTCAACATGTTAGAGTAGATGTTTTTGGGTGGCTGGATGGTGGGACCATTATTACCCAGTAGCTGTTTGTCTTTGTCTCCCCTCCTTACTCCCTAATTCGTTTCACAGTAAGTGGATGTCCATAAGGTAGAGTAGCCAGTAGCTCTGTAGTTGTAGTTATTCCTCTTAGGCTCCTTAGCGAGGCCTGCTTCCCGCAGTCTGTTTTTATTTAAATCTGGACTGTAATCGTCTTCGCCTGTCAGGAATGGTCCCATCCGTCAGCCAGTGAAATAACCCAGAGGTCAGTTTTTACAAACCCTTGCTCTTCAAGAGCCCCGTCGTCTTCACTTTAACTGAAGTGTGACACATCCGCTGTCGTCGTGTGCCCCCACAGGTGGACAAACTCGAAGCCTCCGAGTCTCTGAGGAAACAGGAAGAGCAGGCTACAGAGTCTCAACCCATTGTTTACGGTAAAAAAGGCCTCATGTTCAAAACTGGATGACCGTAGTGCCTTTTGAGGATAGATTTAATAGTTTGATTGCAGCTGTGGTGTTTTTAAGTACTCATCTTGGCGTTGTCTTGCAGGCACACCCCAGCTTATGCTCACAGCAGGGCCCAACGTGCCCGTGCCTCCTCAGCAGCCCTACGGCTACGGCTACACAGCAGCACCCAACTACGGCCAGCCGCCACAGACCACCTTCGGTTACGGCATGTGAACACCCAACTACCCACATCCTCCCCCACCCACAACTCAACCCAACACCTTCCTTCCATCTGTTCTCCCTCCTTTGTGTTCCTCACCAGCTTCCCATGGTCTTCTACTCACAACAGGGGCCACAAGCAAGCAACAGCCCACTCTCGTTTCTGGCACTATTTTTTTATTCTGTCGTCCTGTTCCAAGAGAAAACACTTAACTGCATCGAAGGACTTTTATTTGTATTGTTTGAAAGAAATTGGACCACACGTTTGTTTTTTTTCCACATTCCATATTTATGACTACTTATTAAGATATTTTTGTGTGGTTTTGTTTTGGAGGTTTTTTGTTAATGTCAAAATTTTTTATTGGTTTATGGAGAAGTGGACTTGCTCAAGCTCAGCAATGAGCCTTTGAAGTAGGTGGAGGAGCATTGGATTTTGCACTCATGAAGAAATTAATGTAGAAGAGCTCTTACTTTTGATGTACTGAACATGTGGACAGCTTACATTGTCTCGTTTGTCTGTATAATGCATTTCATCATTGTATATTCTGAGGAAAAAAGGTTACATATAATATTGAACATATATTGCCATTTCAGTGGCTATAGCTAGCAACACTAAGTAATGATAGTATATTCTGCACAGGCGTGTAGCTTTATGGAGTTTTAAATGCATACAGACGTATGTCACTGTGTGACTGGAGAGAGTGTGTGTGTGTGTGTGTGTGTGTGTGTGTGTGTGTGTGTGTGTGTGTGTGTGTGTGTGTGAGACCTAAAGGTCTGAATAAGAATTTTAACCCCCCCTCTCTCTCAGCCTGTACTGGGCTTCTTCACTCCACCCATCTAGATATTAGCGCTCCCTCATTAGCTCCATGTATTAAGGTGACCTCTTGTGCTTTGTACAGTGCTTGTGTGAGACTGTATCTGTGTATGTGCAAGGACGGGACCACGGCCACTAAACCCCAGGGCCCTTAACCGTACCGCGTGTATGTATTTACTCTGAACCCTTTTCGTGCTGAGGTCCGTGTATGCCAGGTGTTGTGGTGTTCCCCTCGGTCACCGTTACTTTTTTTTTTTTCCCCTCTTTTTCTTTTTCCTCCTCGCGTGTACAGATGTGAAGAATTGAAAACTTTTAGATGGAGACCCCCACCTCTCTGTCGTCCATCCCCTCCCCTGTCTTGTTACCTCCTTTGTTAATGCTTAGTGGCAAGAACAAAGAAAGAGGCAGAGGAAGACAGGCTGGTGGAACGTTTAGTGTTTTAACGACAGCTCGATTAGCTCCATAAACACTCCTGTAGGTTGTGTGTTTAGATGGTTACGATGAAGAAATTTACTAAGTCTCCATACATCCAGTTCTCTGTCAAGAATGGTTTGAAATAAGAGCCTGTTACTTACCTTGATGTACTTAACTTCCTTACATGCTTTAAGCTGTGTGTGTAAAGTGTCATCCTAACCCTGACATAAGTTGAATTCCTTTCTGTTGTCATGCATATTAATAAAGGGGATCTGTCATCGATAAGTGGAAGAATATGACTTAATTGAAAGGGAACTACTAGCCTAAATAAAAACTAAAAATTGTACCCCGTCTCTGTGTGTGATGGCAAAAAAGTTGATTATTTTTTCAATATACATAAAACAGACTACATCAGTTTAAATAGGCAGTAACTACAGAGAAAACCCTTGAGGCTCTTTTCTGAAGTGAGAGGGTTCTGTCATATTTGGGGCCTGCTTATAGTGACGAATAACTGGGTGTGCCTCAGAAGTTTGGAGATTTGAAGACTTGGAAAAACCCAGAAGCTATTCTAATGGTTGCTGAATCTATTTATAGAGTTAACAGCTCAAATACATGAATGCCAGTGTTTTCCATACTAGTAAATTATTAGTCTTTATTGTTACATTCCTTTACATTTTAACCCACATTGAAACACGTTAAATTAGACTGTAAATACAATGGCGCGACCAGATGAGAACTTCTCACGTGTTGTCGTTTGAATCCAGTGGTCAGGTGATCAGCCCGTCAAGGTCTGAACCTTTCTTTCCACCTGATTGCAGTACTTTTCACAGAGTCCTGTAGCCCTGTAGTGGATTAACAAGCACAATTCAATGTATTTGTATGGCAGTAATTCATAACAACAGCCTCAAGGTGCTCTACATTATTAGGTAAAGACCCTACAATCACACAGCTCCCTATGATCAAGCACTTGGGAGGAAAAACTCTTATTTTAACAGGAAGAAACCTCCAGCAGAACCAGACTCAGGGAGGGGCAACTGTCTGCTGCAACCCGCTGGGGGTGAGGGGAAAGAGAAGACACACTATTTGAGAAAGAGCCACTATAGGAGAAATGCAGAGTGGTTTACAAACACACAGCGAGGTGAATGAAGAGGAAACACTTTGCATTATGTGAACACCCCCCACCCCACACACACACACACACACACACACTTACTTAAGCTCCTGGAGCTTCTTCTGTTTGAGCTCATCGAGGCGCAGACGTCTCTGCCGAGTTTCCTCCATCAACCGTTCGGCCTCCTTGAAGGTCTCTTTGCGCTTAGCTGTGGCTAAGATCTCGCGTTCCTTCATCTGCTGGCGGATGTCCTGCGCGTGCTGCTGCACTTTGTGATGCTGCCTGTCGTTTTGCACCTGCTCTTTGACCATCTCTTCCTGCTGCACTCTGCGTGGAGAGAGCACTTTTAACGGAGCGTATTAAGATTATTTGAAAATCGGTTTCGAACGGACTTTCTTACTTTAGCAGCCTCTCAAACTCTGCCTTCTCCCGACTCGCCTCCACTGACAGATTGCGCTCTTTGTACTGAACCTGCTCCATGTGAGCCGATCTCAGCGTCGCCTCCAGCTGCGCTTTCTTTGCAGCCCGCTCCCTCTCTTTTCTCCTCCACTCTCTCTCTGCAGCGTCCTGGTTCCTGCGAGCACGGAGCTCATCCTTCCAGACAAACACATACACAAGCACAAGTAGCTAAGAACATCTGTAAATCTTCTGCCAGGTTTCAAATCTTCATATATTGCACATCTGTTAGATCCTGACCTGCTCAGCCTTGTAGTCTTTTTCTTTTTCTTGCTGAGCCCTCAAACGAGCAATCTCCAATTCTTTCTCCTTCTTGATTCGTCTTTGCTCTGCTTCGCATTCTGCCTGCTGCTCCTGCAGGTTTAATGAATTGCTAACGTTAAAAACAACGTCAGAATCAAATGTGTGTGTCACATGATGTAGCTTGCTTGTCCACAAGGAACAGTGGGCTGTGACCTGCTTTTTTAGGAGATACTCCTTCACTCTCATGTCAGCCAGCTTCTCCTCCTCTATCCTCCGCTCCTTTGCCCGCATGGTCTCTGCGTTGATGCGCTTGATCTCCTCCTGCAGAAGCTGTTGCTCCATCCTCCTCTTCTCCAGCACCTGGAGGAAGACATGGGTCAGAGCAGAAACTGAGCGCGGTGTACGTTAACTGCATGTGTGGATGTGTCCTCCGCCTCCGCGTGCACCTCAAGATCCTCCAGGTTCATTCTCTCCTGGTCCTCTCGTGTCTGCTGACTCTCTTTCTCTTTCTTGCCTTCCTCCAATTCTCGGTTCTCCAGGCGTTTCTGGATCTGATCGTAAATTTCCTGCCTTCCCCTGAAATATAAAGCACACACACACGTGTTGACAGTGCTCCTAGTTGACCTCCACTGCTCATTATTAGGATTTCTGCGATCTCCCAAACAGAAGAAGACGAAGAATGACGTTAATTGCAAAAAAATCAATCCGCAAATAGAGGGTGATTGTGTTTCTGATAGGGCTCCATTTACTTGACTCTCTGCTGCCTGCGTAGCTCTTCAATCTTGTCCAGAGTCTCCAGAGCCTTGCGGCGCTCCACCTCCATCATGTTGTCCAGACGCCTTTCCTCCTCTGTCAACTCCATCCGGATCTGCTTCTTCTCCTGGATCTGGTAGTCACGGTTTGCTTGGCACTGAGCACCTAAAATCAGCTGAGACGACCACACAAACACAGGTTTATTATTGTGTACTGGTATGTTTATATTTTTTTAAAGGTTGGTCATCCACACATCTGCACTTTCTTCCTACCTGGTTGAGCTGTTTGATCTCATCTTCCTGTTCCATCCTTAAAGCATTACTCCGCTCCACCAGGCGCTGTGCACGTTCCCGGGCTTCAATCTCCAGCTCAGTCAGTGGCTGGTTCTGCTTACGGGACAGGTCTGCCTCATGGATCCTATGCTTCCTTTCCTCTGCAGCTTTCTGAATAAAAAGTACATAAAAATACTAATTAAATCAGTGGACTTCTTTGTTGTTGTTGTTATAAAATTGCAGTCAGCTTTCCTACAAGTTCCTCTTCTTTCTTCCTCTGGTAAGCCTGCCTCAGGGCCTCTCTGTCCTCCTTGAGGAGCAGCCAGGATGTTGAGTTGAGCCTCTTAAACTCAGCTGGTGGAAGTAAGACGGACTCTCTTGAAGGATCTCTCTGGGGGATCCTGGCATGATGACATGTGGTATAAGGTTTCAAAAACTTGGTATACTGTATTAACATCAGCAATAGCAATCTGATTAGCCTGAATCACATGAAATAAGGCAGAGGTTTATCACAGAGCAGCACACACACTTTACAGACTCTCTCCAGGTTTTATTCAAATGAGCTCGTTTCATGCTGGCCTACCGCAGATTTCGGATGAGGTCTTTGGTGATGATTTGAAGAGTCTCTCCTTCCTGGTTCTTCCATGAACAGTCCTTTGCTACACCTGCTGATTTTACCCGTTTGTCAAACTGCAATGACATCCACACAGAGATTTAGCTGTAATCAGCTCCCAAACTCATCCACGACCTCTGTTCTCACTGCAGCTACATGCAGTTACTGATGATATCTGGGGATATCATTGTGAATAATAAGAGTTGAGTGTTTCCCTCCATTTCCCGCTGAGTGTGCAAGGACCCACACTCACCGATTTCTGGTTCTCAAACAGATCTTCATCCACCCGAGAGCCGGGAGCCAGTGTGCGGTACCGGCCGAGGTACATTTTGCCCCTGGATGACGTGGAGCTCGAGGCAAGTCTCTGCGGGGCAGTAATTACAACGCTCAGGTGTTATCAGCAGATAACGGTCATGCATTTGAACATTGGGATTTAGCATAGAATAGCTTTTTTATTTTTAACCTAACACTTACCATAGTTCTCGGTTACTGTGGGTCAGTGAAACAGACTATATTTGTTAAAAAAAAAATACTAAATTCTAAATATTATACTTTGCTCTTGGATAACTTCCAGCTAGCTCAAATAATTAATGTGGTTTTTAAAAGAAATTAGCGTACTACTTATATTGGCTCCAGCTCACGGGACACCGACTTTGAAATGTTTGGTTACCCGTTGCCATGGGAACAGGAGGAAGGGCAGACCTCACGTGACCGCAAAGTAGTGCTGTGCAAAATTTGGTATCGATCCGATACCATGTAAATACGGGGCCAGTACTGCTGATACCGATACTGACTAACCTATAAAGGCAGCGTATCAGGGGAGAGCAGATCGCCATGATATCTGAGATGAATCGTCATCAATCTGAAACTTCTGACAACATTTTAATGAACGCTAAATCACTTCGATTTCTACTTTCCACAACACTTTCACACAACAAAAATCGATTTGCCCAGCTCTAGTACAAAGAGGGAGCTAGGATATAAAAAAAAACAAAACACTTCCCGGGAAAAGATGCTTTTTAAAACCTTATTTTCAGCCAAAGCCGCCAAGCAGCAAATAGGTTTTTAAGATTTAACCGGCGCTTCTAAATATGTATGCTGTAATGTGCTGTAAATTTTCAAAAATATCTACCCGAGATAAGTGCCCAATGGCGTTACCAACATGGCTGCAAAGTAACAAAACTTACTCAAACAATGTTATTGGCTTATTAAACAGTGGTTTAGTCACACAGCCAGCTGGTAAAATGCTACACTGTAGAAATATTTGTGTTTACTTGAATACAGGGGGAAAATGCTAACACTAAAAACAGCGCTAACAAGCTAGCTCATTCCGCGGAAATACTCGTAGTTACTTAGATTTAAATTACAATTTATGTCGTTATGTGTTATTTAATTTCATACAGTCATTGCCACAGTTATATGGAGCATTGTCCGGACACAGTCCGTACCACTACCGGCGGCTTTCGTGGCTGGGCGGTGCTAGTTGGCCCACATGATGCGGAAATTTTGCACAAAAAATCCTTCAGCCCCGAAACGAGCAGAACTTCAGAGAGAACTCACTCCAAACTCAGGGAAAGTTAATCTGCGAGATTTTACGCATACACGGAAAAGCGGAAGTGGACACACCGAGGTTTCTGCAGGTATATTTACACTAAAGACTTTGGTTTTGTAGATTACACTTACACGTCAGACCAAAATCTTAGTATATATACTAAGATTTTGGTCTGACGTGTTGTGCACAATGGAACTGTATTACCCACAACTCTCGTGTGCAACAAAAGATTTATGCACTGCCACAAATACCGTGCTCTCCCTCCTGAATTTATGAATGTGTCTCAGGTTTTTTTGCTGATGAGGATCACACTCACACACCCCTCCATTTGGATAGGAGCCTCCCCCTGGTGTACAGCAGCTATTGGACTCCTCAGTAAATCATTAAACGCGTCAGTCCGAGTACTCCTGTCATGGCATTATCAGATAGATAACAGCAACAAGAAAATAACACTTGATAAAACAGAAGGATTTCTGCCTGAAGGACAGAAGATCACTCTCAGGGGATAGTGTCACAAACTGATGGTCACCTCCTCCGGCCCTCGTGAAGCCAGCCTGCAGCGCAGGGTAGCCGCCATGATTCAATCAGCTTCAGGGTGTAGAAGTTGACCATTAACCTCCGGTGCTGATTGCAAACACTTCTTTGCTTGTAAGCAGCTGCCTGTGTACAGTGGATCCTGAAGCAAAGTTCACTGCTACAGGTTGCAAAAGGCAGGAGCTCCTCTGGAAGCTGCTTTGCAAGTGTTTTAGGACTGAGCTGCAACCATGGCTGCCTCCGGTTATGGATACTACAGAAGTACAATATTTCTGGCCATGTTTGTGGGCTACACATTGTACTACTTCAACAGAAAGACGTTCTCCTTCGTGATGCCTTCTGTAATGCAAGAGATCAAGCTGGATAAGGACGATCTGGGTATGTCAGTACTGTAAACTTGAACCCTGTGTACCTTCTATAAATGTGATAACACTGATGTGCCTATACAACAATTTTGCAGCAAGTGCATGAGCGCTCCTCTTTTCTCAGGTATGATCACCAGCAGTCAATCTTTGGCCTACGCTATTAGTAAGTTCATCAGCGGTGTCCTGTCAGACCAAATCAGCGCCCGCTGGCTCTTCTCCATTGGCCTGTTCATGGTGGGAGGCATCAACGTGATCTTCTCTTGGTCCTCCACTGTCGCTGTCTTCTCTGCCCTCTGGTTTCTCAACGGTCTGGGCCAAGGCCTGGGCTGGCCTCCCTGTGGCAGGGTGCTGCGCAAGGTATATGACCCGGTACCCTCTAATTCAAATTGAGTTTAAAATTTAAGTTTCTTCTGAGTATTACGAAGAACAAACCGACACTGCAGTAGGAAAATACAGAATGAGCTAATAAAGTAAAGCAAGTAAACAGGATGAAATAATGAAATGGACCTAAAACTGTTTGTATTCTCTATAAGATCTTGAATGAACTGGAAACTGATGTTAGATCCCAACTATTTTATCAGCAGGCTCAGGCAGAGTTGGAGCGTAAACAGCTAATCCAAGACAATAAAATAATTTTATTTTTAAACTGCATTTTCATAGTGTCTTAAACAGGACTCAGAAATCTGTAACTGTTTGTGTGTCTGAAAGAAAAAAGAATATCTGACTTTTAAACTACCAAGTGTGGGGATCGGTCTTAAAAATCCTATGTGGGTATCAAGGAACTTCCTGCCAGGGCTGTCTGGACTTAATGTTTTTCCCTCTTTTCCTCCATCAGTGGTTCGAGCCCTCTCAGTTCGGGACGTGGTGGGCGGTTCTGTCCTGCAGCATGAATCTGGCCGGCAGCTTGGGCCCCATCGTTGCCACTGTGCTATCGCAGAGTTACAGCTGGAGGGCGATACTGTCCGCCTCTGGAATGATTTGCATCGTTGCCTCATTTGTTTGCCTGCTGGTAATCAAGAACGAGCCCAAGGATGTGGGGCTGCCCAACATAGAGGTGTCGACCAAAAAGAGCAAAGGTGGTGAGTCTGACTCTTAGTCAGGCACAATCAGAAACTGGTGCGGTTCAACTGGTTTGAACCGCTGCTTTTCTCAGAATGTTGTTAACACATAGACAATGCTCTGATAACACAAATTTGAACACACACACATGCACGTGTGTCTGTTGTCTAACGGCATGGGCCTTGAGCGCTGTGACTAAAGATCAGTAACTCGGTGGACTCTGCACTCAGTGTGTCCCTCACGTGAAAGCAGCTCATGCAAAGTGTGAACACAGGATGTGATGCATGTTTCTTTTTAAAACCGAGGAGTGCTCCCATCACCACATCACTCACATCTGTGCTCGTGGTATCTAAAAAAGGATCTTCTGTTTGCTTCCTCTTCAGGATCCTCAAGCCATGAAAGCACCCTGTCTGAGTTTCTCCTGTCCCCCTACCTGTGGCTGCTGTCCATCTCCTACCTGGTGGTGTTTGGGGTGAAGACCGCCTGCACAGACTGGGGCCAGCTGTTTCTCATTCAGGACAAGGGCCAGTCTACACTCATGGGTACGGATGAGGGGAAGAGCAGTCGCCTCGGGAGTCTACTTTGAAATAAAGAGTTAAACTCACTGTGTTCCTTTTCTTAGGTAGCTCATACATGAGCGCCCTGGAGGCTGGCGGGCTGGTGGGCAGTCTGGCTGCAGGTTACCTCTCTGACAAAGCTGTGGCCAGAGTGAGTTTGTTTTTTAAATATGAGTCATTATTTGATCCAAGATTGTGGTCAATAACAGCCTGTTTAATATAGAGAGAACTGGACTAGAAAGGGTTTTAACCTTTGAATATTTCAATGTTATTTTATGGAAATCGTCTTCTGTTTAAGATTGCTTTCTCCCTGTCTGCACTTTCTTCATCATTTCATAAGTTAAAGGGATAAATAGCAATAGAAACACACCCCTAAGTGGGCAATCAGTGTTTTTTTTTTATTCAGCTTATAGCCAGGAAATGGAACATCTCATAGTATTTTCTTTGTGTGCAGCAAGGGATGAGGCTCTATGGTAATCCCCGCCACTTCATCCTGATCTGCATGATGGCAGGAATGTTTGTGTCCATGTACCTGTTCAGACTCACCGTTACTCCTGACAGCTCAAAGGTAACACAGACACATTAATTCCTGTGACCTGTTCACACTGCACAGCAAATGCCAGACTTCAGTAGCCCCTTTTTTTTTAATCTCTTCTCTGTACATCAAGGTGTGGATACTCGGCTTGGGCGCCGCCTTCGGTTTCTCCTCATATGGACCAATAGCTTTGTTTGGAGTTATAGCCAATGAGAGCGCTCCATCCAACTACTGCGGGACATCACATGCTATCGTTGCCCTGATGGCAAACAGTAGGTTTTCATTAATTGAAAGTTAAATTCTAAAGTTGGGTTTTGTGTGTGTTGCGCTCCTTCCATTGAAATAATCCGTGTGAATTCCCATTGTAGTTGGTGGCTTCCTTTCTGGACTCCCATTCAGCACCATTGCCAAGCACCATGGCTGGGAAAAGGCCTTCTGGGTAGCAGAGGTCACCTGCCTTGTCACTACTATTGGATTCTTCCTCCTGCGCAACATTCGAACAAAGATGGGACACGTGCCCAAGAAGGCGGACTGAGCTCATTCTGTGCGAGCCAGTCATTTTTACGTCTTTGTTTTTAATTAGTCATATGTGAAATAAAGTTCATAGAAATGTGCAAAGGCGCTTCTCAACATGTTGTATAAATAGTGCGTGAACTTGAAGAAATTACTGCAAATTGCTAGAGAATGTTTTTTCTGATAACGCCTCTGCAGGACTGCAATAGTAAGAGTGCAAAATAGGAGGCTACAACACACTCAAATGAGCAATCTTAGGTCAATGATACTTTTTCTTAGTTAACCCTATAACACTAATATCAGGTGACTTTCGCAAATTCCAGTCCTGTGAATTTGTTTTTTTATTTTTTTTAAAAAAGCAACATGATCAGAGTACCCCATTATACCTTATTTTATCAGACATTGTACAGGATAATAAAAGAGTACTTCAATATTCCATGTATTGCACTTTAATGTATTTTGATGGGAAGTATATTGAGTAAAAAATACCCACCGTTAGCGATACTGTTACAGAAACTGCACATTAGTGTTCTAGGGTTATTTTTCCAATTTTACACTTCATGCTCCAAAGTCTTCACTCACTGATTCAGTAAAATGGATTCAGAACATTTAAATACAGTATGGATTTTAATCTCTGAATTATTTACAAAACAATGTATTTACAAAGTGTTAATGAGCAAATGTGGGGAGGAAAAACAAACAAACAAACGGTCCAAGACAAGAAAAAGGAGTCCACTTATTTCTTTTCAGTCTGTGAATGCTCTGATTTAAGATCCAGCTCCAAAGTTGCCGGCTTTCTCTGCTACCTCCAATGAACTCTTCAGATTCTGATCAAAGAGCTCACACCTGAAAAGCAAGAGTAAATGCGTGGGTGTTAAACAGTGGGTACAGTAATAAATTATTTCAAGATAATGCAATCCTAATTCTCTTTAATACCTGATTGGCATTTCCAGAGAATAGAACGGGTTCTTGAGGGCGAAATCTGAATACACCTCATAAATCTTCCTCAACAACGCATCGATTCCAGACTGTCGCGGGTCCGCCAACACGATAAACTTTATCCCTGAGAGAACAAAATGAGAAAGATTTCATTTTATAATAGTGACTAACAACAAGCTGGGAAGGAATGTATACACCAGGAAGATTTATTACTGGAGTTGCATGCTGTTCACAGCTAAAATTAAATGAAATCGTTACATATCGTTAGCTTCATAGCATAAGTGCCTAAGTCATTTTTTGGTCAAATTGCATGTGATATTTAAAAATATGCATGTGATATTTAGAAAATTAGTTTTTTCTTGTTTTCCGAAAACACAAAAAAATGACTTAGGCACTTATGCTATGAAGCTAACGATATGGAAGTGCTTTGGTTTTTAAATCTACAGCCAACTAAGACATTACTTCTTTGGTATTTTTAACCTAAAATGACACTTAATTGCACCACTGACCTGTGAGAGTCTGGAAGCAGTGAAGTTTGAAGACATCAGTTTCTAACATTTCGATCCCTGAACTGCCAGCTTCAGGGGATAGCTGTGAACCTATTGCAAACAACCTGAGGGAGGGATCACAAAAATAGGTGCGTTTATTTAGCTTCATTCATAAAGTAAGGGTACATACAGTTTTGGTCTGAAGTTTTAGCTACTGGGCGTGAATGTTGTGGTAATTTCTGGATTTTAATGAGTTCTTTGAACTGAAGAATTAAGTGTACAAGTTTGATTTTATTTAGGATTTTGTCTGATCCACGCAGGGTTAAAAAAGGCTCAAAAGCCTAAACAAATATTTAGTTAAATGAATGTTTGCAAGTTGCACTTTGTCCAGGGGTCCTTATGAAAATATTAATAATAAAATAAAATATTAATAAGTGTATGTATACTTTCGATCCTGTGTAGAGTAGAAAAAAATCAAACAACAGTACATACTATAAAATGTATTGATCACTCAGGTAAGTTTTCACTTCCCTTGGCTCCCATTCAGAAAAAAAAAAACATAAATAACACTAGTAAACACCTGGCCCCGCTGTCCACTGTGCAGCTCGGGTTTAATCCACACACACGAAATTACTTACGAGTGGAACATGGACGCCAGCATCAGCTTCTCATTGGAGCTCAGGCGCGCTCGTCCAAAGCGAATAGACACGGGATAGTTTGAAGGATCTTTCAGGTATTCAAGGATGTCCTTCCCATCTGATGTGTTCTTCCCGATCACATCAACTCCATTGATGGACAGCACTGCGTGGCCCACTGACGAATGACAAGAGGTTTCAGTCCAGTCATACAGTCAAGCTAGTGACACCGCAGTATTTTTAAATGAAGAACAGTGAACATTTCAGTTAACTTGGACTGTAAAAAAGGATACAAATGCGCATACTATAGATAATAAACCGACAAAGACTGCATGCGAGTATTTTAGCTTGGGCATAAGACAGGTTTCGTTAGAGATTGCCCATATAGCTAGCAAATAAATAAGCTAACGATGTGCCCGTGAGATTACCTCTGATTCCGTCCCGCTGTCCAAACGATACGACCACCTTCTCGTCGTGGTGCTTCAGCACCAAGTCCAAAGGGTAGCTGAATGTTTTCTCCACCTCTGCTCGCGGGACATAGTTATCATATTGATAAATTAACCCTCCAGCCTTGTTCACCACATACACACTGTATATCACCATCTTTGCAACGTCCTGCCCAGCTGACAGCGACTGTCACATGACCTCGACGGGTGGCTAAAAATCAAATGAATAAATTAGATTTTACTTGTATGAGATTTTGGTCTCAAACCTGCCGCTGTATTGACTGTCAGAATGTTTGCCAATCTCATAAGTCAAATAAAGTCAATAAAAGCGACGAAACATGAGAAAACTCAAGTTCCCATAATGCCCCAATCTCACTTCCGCAAAAACAGGTTGTCTAAGGGGCTCTTGCACGGGCGAACTTCCTTTCGCTCCGACATCTTGACGAGGAAACATGGTGAGGACAGTTATTACACGTTTGTTGAAAGAAATTAGACTTTTTTCGGCTTATCGTTAGTCATTCAGGAGTCGTAGTACCTCGGGACATTTTTTGATAGCACTGCGCTTCCCCGCACCGGGACGAGAGTGTGTAGATGAAGAAGCCATACTTAAGATTTCACGCATTTAGCTTATGGCTAGCATAGTAGCAGTTTGCTAAACGCACCATGCTTCCAACTACACTGTGCTCACAGAAAGGACTTTAATAAAGTTGTCCCTCATGTGACCGCTAAATATACTAGCATGTGTACAGATGACACAAACACCAAATACTAAAGTATTGTAGGGGTGCAAATGTTAAAAATTAATGAAGACTGCGAGATTAGAAACGTTTTGAGGACAGGGCCTCCTCATGCCGACCATCCGATTTCGGCATTAGCCCCTAGCTCATTTCCCTTATAAAATTAATGGAGTACCGATGCGAACTTGCTCTTGTGTACATTACAGCACATGTTAAACATGTAGCTTCAGAGTGAAAGTTTAACGGATGTCTTCTTTTTCCAGCCTCCTAAACAGGATAAGAAGAAGGATGCTGGGAAGTCCAAGAAGGACAAGGACCCAGTCAACAAGTCTGGAGGCAAAGCCAAGAAGAAGGTATGTTTTTGTTCATATTTGCCGATATTGGATGTATTTTATATTATGTGGCTGCTGAATAAATGTTAAGGCTAGAGGTTTCCCAGTCTTTAAAACAACATGTCTGTTTCTGAGCAGAAGTGGTCCAAGGGAAAAGTGAGGGATAAGCTCAACAACCTGGTCCTCTTCGACAAGGCGACCTACGACAAGCTGTACAAAGAAGTTCCCAACTACAAGCTCATTACCCCCGCTGTTGTGTCTGAGAGGCTGAAGATCCGTGGCTCTCTGGCAAGGAACGCCCTCCAGGAGCTGCTCGCCAAAGGTGAACTTCACTTTCTCTGCTCAGAGCTCTTGAAGGCCCGTGTTGGATCTTTGACGCTAGGAAGGGCATCAAAGTTAATCACACGTCTGTCATGGTAGCGAGCTTGGCTCAGTTGGTCAGCACCATTCCCAAGCATTAGATTTTAGTCCCTGCCAACAAACCAGTGTGTGCTTATGTTACCAGCAAAGGATTTTATTTACTGCCCTGAATAAGTCGATTGAGAGTTTGGCAGGGTGATTTCCAACTTCAGAGAAAACTCAGTTACACGATGGTACATCTTTTGCATTAAGGGCTGATCAGGAGATGGTTCTTGCTCCAGCTTTAAAAAATGGAAACTGTAACATCTCTTGTCATCTGCTATTTTGTGATGCAGCATTAAACTCAGCCGATGAATATGCCCGTAGTCATCAGCACTGCTCGCTGGCTGTGTCTAATGTTTATAAATGCTTACACAGTATGAACCCAGGCCAGAGTGGTTTGTCAGCGAGTTCATCATTTGTTTTTAAATGACAGTGATGTGCATGCAGCGTGACTACTTATCTCCTCTTTTGACATCCTTCAACTTCTGTTCGAAATGCTATGTGGAAACAAATGATATATTGCAGCCTGTCTGCTGTTTCATGTGATGTGAAATGCTGAACATATTTCAAAGCATTATGCTTTATTCATTTGATTTATTTATTTTTCCTCCCTACAGTAGTTTAACTGAAGTGTGTGTGGTGTTACTCATTGTGTTTCAGAGATATTGTCATCTAGACTCAGTATAGCATTCTTTTTATGAATTAAAGCCTTCCTTCAGCAGGCTGTGCACTGTGCTTCTGATTAAAGAACGCAGATTTGTTCTTGTCCCATACAGTGAGGCTTCATATGCAGCAGGAGGGACACATGAAGAAATTCTGTATTAATTCCTCATGCCTAATTTAATTTGAAAATTAGCTGTCAAACTGATTTGAGATATAATGGCTACATTGGCATCGTAGCTAGATTGCCTTCCCTGCCTTGTAATACATTTACTTGTCAGTGTTTGGACACTTGGGAGAAGTGATCTGTTGCACATATCTGTCCCTGTGCAGGCCGACTAGGGCAAATGTATCACAACAATTGACATAACGGTGCAAATTAAAAACACAAAAAAAAAATGCTGACGGAGAACTTGGGTCCGTTTTTGTCTTGCAGGCATGATCAAACTGGTGTCCAAACACAGAG